GCCGTTCCCGAAAACGCTTTCCCGCTAAAAAAACTTTCATGTGCCCCTACGTGAGAACCACGTGGAATTGAGCGTCCATTTCGAGGATACGAGCCCGCAGGTATGTGTAGATTAAGTCACCAAATTTACAGCCTCGTAACTTATGTGGATCTCGAGATGAAAACTCGTTACAGACGCACACACAGACACACATACACACATGCATACACACATACACACACATGCATACACACACATACATACAGACACAAACAGACAACTCCTCGACAATATGCGTTTTTGCATTGCACAGCTGCAAAAAACGCATAAAAACTGGAATTTTAAGGAGATGTTCCCTGCCCCTGTCCCTTCCCCTCCGTTTCAACCCTTCTCTCGCCGTCCTGTCTCTCAGTTTTTGGTTTCAATTCTTTCATCGCTGTACTATATCAACAAATGTTAAAATGTAAAAATACTCGATTAATTTCAGCTTCTTGTCTTCAACAATGAAAGCAGCATCCACCTCCGGCAGTTCCACATCCAAATGATCGCTGAAAAATTGTCAGTATTCAAATCACGATAACGAAGGCTGGTTGAACAAAGCGATTTCTTTGTAAATTGTGCCCCATTTTTTACTTTCTAACAGTGATACTATAATCTCTTCAACTTTCATGGGCATACATAAAAATTTTGAAGGTATTGATGGAGCTTAGGATAGATGTGGCTGAAATCGGCAAGTGGAAGCATCCCAATAACATCATTAGCACGGGATACACACAACTGACTATTCAAACGACCTTGGAATTCTTGGACTGACGGCAAATTTATAAACACACGCAAAAAACTGCTAGTTTATGAGTCCACAAAATTTCCATTTGCAAATGAAAATTTTGCTGAGACATAATCTAACTTAAAAAATCATCGCGATTAAAGCCGAAATTTTCTCCGTATTCACGCTTTGTGAGGAACGAAGAAAATCGAGGTAGCAATTCAAAATATGAGTCCTGAACTAGTCGCAGACTTAGCATCTTTGCTTTCAGTTATTACTAAGATGCTTGCGCGATAAACCTTATAAACAGGAGGTTACATTTTTTGTAAGACTCAATAATCCGAATGATTGCTGTGATGATGTCATGAAAATGCATTACAAATTTAGTTGACTAGTCAAAAAATCAAAGCAAAAAAATTCAGGATGTGTAGTAAAAAGAGTAGAACCTGTCCAGATGAGCGGAACTGAGGGCACTTTCCTCTTCGTCTGCAATGCTTTCGCTCGTCGATGTTATCGAAACAGCCTCATCCTCATCCTCTGATAAGGCGAATTGCGCCAGTGTTTCTGGTTCATTCAAATTGAATGAGGCGAGTTGCATCTTCCGTACCACTTTTGCTATTGTAAATTTCGGAATTTGCCTTCTCGGATAACCATTTTTTTTGAGCTCCTCAAATCTAAATCCAATATCTTAAGTTCCACCATCTCCACTCTGGAAAGTCTGGAGCGGCTGTGTTTTTGTCCACTTTAGCCTCCCTCCCCCGTCTTCCTTCCCCTCCTTCTCTCCCAGTGTTCTTTTTGATCAGTCTTAACCAGAAGAGAAGTGACATCACCAGAACTCAACCAGGTGCACCGTGCCATGTCTTTTTATTTTAGGCTAGTTCCACCAACTGATGCAAAAGTTACCGTTTTCGAGCACAATCGCCGCGATACTGTGATTGTATTGCAATGATGGCACGCCTAATCTGCATGTATTTACGCTCGGCTCTGAATCTTTTCCAATTCCGTTGAATCACCAGCGCCGAATGGTACTGCTCACGCAGTCGATTTCTCACTATCATCCCACGCACCATTGCCTAAATTGAGGTTATTTTACGTACGCTTAAAAGAAATAACCTTTTTCCAGGAACCGCTTTCTTTCACAACAACTTAGTAAAAAGTCAAACTTTCTTCTGTATCGCTTTCTGTGAGATGGTGAGGCACTCAAAGGTATTCTGAGCACATGCCAACAGTAACCATTCGCTAGCAAAGCTGTCGATGGTTCCCTATTTCTTAGAAACAAGCTTATGGCGGGTTGGATTCTTGGTGCATGCAATTATACAATTAGTTACGCTTTAGTAATTTTCGTTCATCAAAAAATTATGCGAAAAATAAGACAAAACTCTAAGAAAGTGATGAAAATAGAGTTGGCGATGAACTTAATCTGACTGAGGAGGAACTGGATGAGAAACAGATTTTCCGGAAGTGGACTTGTCTGAAAGTTAAATCACAGTTTGCTGACGGGATACTGTCATTATTGCTGCTTGACGTATTATTAAGACAAGTTTGCCACCACTGAACAACAAATGCTGCCTGTACCACGTTAGAAGTCGAATAAATTAGTAATATGTGGAACCTGAATTGCAATGATAGCGGAGCGCAGTCTGACGTATCTGCGCCTCGTTAGCAGTGCTCGGAACCAGTGCTGCAGCGTTTCGATGTGCTTCATAATCGCTCGATGCAAATGATCATCCAGAAGTAATTTTTCAGCATCGCGCATGAATACCTGGAGAACACCAGGAAGCTTAAAGAATCAAGAACATTGCAAAAATTTCGTCTTTGAATGTAAAAAACAATTGATAATTCGAAAATCTCAAACCGTACATTTCTTTTGTTCCAAATAAACTATTCGAAGTTTGTGTCTAAAATCGATTAACTTCGCTTTTTGCCTTGTTAGACATATACTTCACAGCTTTTCTGGAGAATTAAAATTTACTGGTCATTTTCAGGAATGAAGTGAGCCTTGGGACTGATGATAAATTAAAGAGTAACAGCAAAATGGCTTCGCTGACTAATACTTACTCGAGTGACCACTGGATAATTCATTTACATCAACAGAATTTATTAGTGCATTAATATTGTCAGCTTATTACTTTAATTCCAACATCTCTTTTTCTCCTGTCTATTCTTATGTCTTTTCAATTTCTATTTTATGTTTACACGTATCTCAAACTAAGCTTGTGGCCTATTTTACAACTCCCTCACCTTCTGTCACCACAAACAGTATATTTTGGAGGAATTATAAAAAAGCTTGTTGGATTAATAAAACACATTATCAAATTTAAGGAATACATATTTAGGTCACTGCCGACGAATGAACTCAAAAATCAACTCCTTTAGGAACAATCAGGTTATAATAATATTGTTACTAAACGAGCATTTGATGACTAAGATCTCTTCGGTTCTTCTTCGCTGTGACGTTTTATTTTTTGTTGTTGATGTAATTAAAAAGACAATAAAATTCATCTTAGGTCCAGTTTGTTCTGAAGAAATTACCTTTGTGATTCCAAATTGCACTTGGTCATCACCAACCAGTGCATGTCGCTTGATGAATTCTTTCACATCCTCTACACTGCTCTCGCGACCATTTGGCAAAAGGATTCGATACTGCTTGATAAAATCCTTAAATGCAAAATGTTTCCTAAAGATCCTGACGCTCTAGAAGCAAAAGCAAATCTCAGTCTTGAGGCCTCGGGATTGCATTTGCTAAATTGTTCTACTATAAAAAGAACGCATTATATTACGTTGAAAAAAAAGAGTAACACAGACGGCCACTGCGATTTTAGTGCGCCAATTTAAATGGGAGAAAGAAATGCAGATAGCCTGAGAAAGGCTTTTTTCTTTTAGTTTCTTCTATCCAACTGAGGAACTAGTAGTTTGAGAAGTATCATAAAGAATTTGAGGTTCAAAAAGAATTATAAGTGAACTTCTGGATCATGGAGATTCATAAATAAATTTGTAGTTCTGAGAAGTTTACAAAGAGACTCGTAATTCAAGGAATTTCAGAAGAGAATAGTAGCTTGAGAGATCCAGAACATGGTTGGGAAGTATCTCTTTGTAGGAAATATCTCGTTTTGAAAAGCTTGCCAACTAACCTCATATTCAATGCGAACACTATACCCGGCTCGGCGTATCCGTACCGTTTCCAGCATGCCGGTATAGCGCAACTGACGCAGAATGATGTTATCATCAAAATGATTCGGAATCTGAAATTTGACGTGTGACTCATAAGGTGACTCAATAAAGGCATTATGGAGGAACTTGTTCTCACGTACGGAACTCTTTTTTGGAAAGCGCTACGGAGTGAGATGGACTGAAAAGCTGCAGGCAATTAACACCTCAACTAAAAAATATCAAAAATAAACCTTTTCGTTGTTCGATTTGATGCAGCGTATGAAATACGGCGTAGCCTGAGACAGTGTTTTCATTAGCCGTGAGAGGGAATGCTGGAATTGCTTGCTGACTGAGGACGGCTTCCCCACAATCCGCTTCTTTTCCGAAAATGCTTTCACTACCTGAAAACTGTTATCCATAAAAATTTCCGTAAATATCGAAAGGCGTACTTTTTATGCGTTTTTGCCTATATTCAAATTGCAATCCAGGCTGGAACGCACCGGGCGGGCCCGTGCGACCATGCGTTTTTGCACCGGACTTGAATTACTCAGGTCATTATCTGTATGAATGGCTGTTGCTTTATACATACCTTTTGCGGTCACTAACACAAATCATCATAAATTTTGCAAAGTAATGTATAATTTCCATTTAAGTCATTCTTTAAAGTAACCTAGTTGTTCAGTGAGGAATTTTTTCGTCAAGGCTTTTAAGTGCCCCTACGTAAAAACCACGCACACCTCAAGGCTGAATTTGAAATACTTAAGTTGTATTTGGACAGGGAACTTCCCCCTAAAACTTCAACTATCTAGCTTTTTTGGTTCTCGAATTAAAATTTTCCCGCACAAACTTTCTTACGCCCTTACATGAGTGCCACGCATAGCTTGGGGCTGATTTTGAAATATTTGAATTGTACCTGGATTGGGAACATTCCCCCAAAATTTCAGCTTTCTAGCTTTCCTGAAACCCGAGTTAGCAATTTTCTCCCTAAAACTTTCATACGCCCTTACGTGAGTACTACGCGCAACTGGGGGCTGATTTTGAAACCTTTGGCTAGTACATAAACAGGGAACATCCCTACAAAGTTTCAGCTCTCTAGCTCGTGTGGTTCCCGAGATCGCTTTCCCGCCAAAAAATCTGCATATTTTTTTAAAAAGCCTGTGCGCGGCACCCAGGCGTCCAAGGGGGATGAAATTAAAAAGGGAGGGTCGCGCATGGTATAGGCACAT